TGCCGTGATGCACGGCACCTGACTTTCTCATTTATTCATTCATCTGTTCATTCACGAAGTATTTATCTAAGGCCACAGGCCAGATCTGTGGCAGGACTGAGCTCTTTCAAGGCTGCAGATATTGAAAACTTGTGTCCCTCACTTCAAAAGACTCACTGAGCTCAAAAATATCTTCAAAAAAAAAAGGCTCAGCATTGTTTTTCCAGGATACCATGATGGCATCCATCATGAGTTTTCCAAATGACTCAGGTGTGTCACCTCCACAGACCTGGGGGATGTCCCTGATGGCCTGTCCCAGCAGGTGTTGGGGGCACATCCCCAACCACTCGCAAGTCGTGGTCAGAGCTGAAGAGAAGGTTGGCTGGTGCTCCTTCCCGGCCTCCACTGGCATCGTGGATGGACACTGGTCTCCTCTGCCTTGTCTTCTACAACCACAGCCTCCCGTTCTTTCTTTCTTTCTTTTCCTTTTTTGGTGCTGGGGATGGAACCCAGGCTCTATCACTGAGCCACATCTCTAGCCCTTTTTATTTTTTCATTCCAAGACACAGTCTCACTTAGTTACTGAGGCTGACCTCAAACTCGCAATCCTCCTGTTACGGCCTCCGGAGCCACTTGAATGATAGGCCTACACTACCACACCTGGCCCATTATTTCTTTTCTTTCATTATTTTTATTTTTTAACTGACACATGATAATTGTACCTATTTACGTGGCACAGTGTCATACATTGTGCAATGATCCCATGAGGGTAATAAGCATATCATCTCGAACACTGATCATTTCTTTAAGAACATTCAAAACAAAACAAAAAAAATAATGATTTTCCTGAAAAAAAAAGAACATTAAAAATCTCCTAGCTACTTTGAAATCTGCAATGGATTTTGTTAACTCCAGTCACCAGCTGGCCCTTACACTGGCACTAGAATTTCTCCTCCTCTCTGACTGTATTTTTGTACTGGGTCCCCACTCCCTCTGAGGGAGGATCAACACACTTTCCCTGTTCAGAGCTGGACAGAGGTCAAGGTGCTGCCTCTCTGGTCTTGCCCATTCAGCTCACTCTCAGGAGTACAGGTGGCAGAGGACAGGGAGCCTCAAGCATCTGGACCTTGCTGTCCAAAAGGAAAGCGTGACATCACAGAATCCAAGGGCTCTCAGGCTTGTGAAGGCTGCACTTTCTGGCTTCCTGGAGTCGGTACCAATAAGGACAATTCTGCACCTACCTGCCAGGCTCAAGGTCTAGAACGGCTTGCTGAGAGAGGCCTCCGGCTCTTACTTATATAGAGCAGAATAACTCCCTCGGCCCCGAGCTGGTTCAGGGGGCTTCCCTGTAAATGGGGATGGTTTCCTTTATCATTTATAGGAAGCTTCTAAGAATAGTCTATGACCATCAGATGAATAAAGAGCCGGAAATCAAGTTTGGATTCCTGCTTGTTTATGCTGAGTCAGGTAATAGAGGTGTCAGAGCAGGGAGGTGCCGGGAGGGGAGAGAGGCAGCCCTCACTGGGGATCTGCTGTGCCTGGTACCACGAGGCGCTTTGTGTGTGCGTGTGTACAGTCCTTCCGCAGCCGACCAGCCCGTGTCACCCACCAGTTTGCATTCATGAACCTGGCGCTCAGGCCCAGGAACCACGCACTCAGCTCCTCCAGCCACGAGGCCAGGCTGGCCCTGCTTCTAGCCGCATGAACCTGCATAGACATGCAACGTGACAGCCGCTTGTCACAGTCAGAGGTTCAGTGCTGGCCCAGAGCCTGCTGCGGTGTCACTGGGACTCCGTGGGCCTTTCCCGGCACACACCTCCAGCAGCAGAACTGGACAGACACATCCAGTTCCCTCTGGTCATTAAGTCTTGGATCCCAGGCACCCCCAATGTCCCCTTTCCATGTTTTTGATCTCAGTCTCTGCATGGGAATCTTTCAGCAGAATTTGCAAAGAAATGCTGACCTGTAATTAGGAAAACCAAGAATGGAAATGTTTCTATTAATATTGGTCCCTACTCTTGGAGACAAGCGTTATTGGGCCAAAGACGAGATGGTCTTCCCACACGAGCTCCAGAGATCCTCCCGTGCACTGCAGAGGTCTTGCCCGCTGAGCACCCCACGGTCCTCCTGCTCCGCAGGGTTGCAGAGTTCACGCCTCTTGGCCTAGTTCTTGCATTGGCTGAAGTCCCCCTCCAGCCCGTTCTCCCTCCACATCAAAGGTCTCCGATACCGTGCTCTGCTTCCAAACCACCAGTTAAGGAGAGTGTTTACTGAAGAGGAAGAGTAAATCCGGAAGCAGCTGTGCGAAGGGCCCAGGGCTCAGTCCCCGGGGGCTCACACTTGGCCATCTGTGTCTCCTCTTAGGGCTAATCTCTCTGGTTCTCAGAGAAGCAGCCCATTAACTCAGACAGCTGGGAAATGATGAAAACCATCTCTTTTTTTCATCCCAAACCATTCTTATGATGCAGTGTTTATGCTTCAGAATCCGGGGGACTTTCGAACGGTGACCTTTCCTAGGCTGTCCCAGCCCGGAGGCGTGGGTGCTGGGAACTCACGCCGAACCTCACGCTTCCTGCCAGATCCCCGTCAGGGGCCACACGGAGCCTCCTTACACACGGCTACATATGTGGACCAGTGGGCGGCTGGATGCAGATTTTTTTTTTCATGCAATTTATCATTTTGAGCAGTGTGTGTCTGAGAGCCGGGGCCAGGTTTCTTGCAGAGTGGGACCGAATCTACATTCTCTAGAGAAGGTGCATTCAAAGAGTCTGTGAACGGTGCGCTTGGCAGTGAGCTCTAACCTCGGGTATTTCTTTATTTGCACCATTTACATCTGTGAACAGGGACACATCTGGGACTCTGGCTATACAGAGGCATCCAAAATGTCTGTCACCTGAGGAATGCTTGTATCCTGTCCGAGTCTCCTTCACTCATCTCCGTCACTCTGAATTAATCGGGGTGTCTACACAACAGGCATCACAAACCCTTCCGTCAGTCTGTGTGCTTCTAGCCTGGGTCAGCTACTCCACTTTCATTCCCAGATGCGCTGAGCTCTCCCTTTAGAAAAATAAATGCAGAGCAGGATGTTGGGTCACGGGAACGCTGGTTGAGTATGGAAACTAGTAAGCCTGTAAGGAAAATTACATTCTCAGTTCAAAGAACGTGGGTTTCACACAAGCAGATGCAACCAGACCTTCAGTTCAAACCTATTTCCAAAAGGTCAGCCCACAGCTTTTAATGCGATAAAAATTTAAAAACGGCATCCAAACCTTTTCATTTGCACTTCAGTTGTTGCGTGAAAAGTTGGATATCTGTGAGCTGCTGGCTGTGTGGAAACACTTAACTCGGAAACGATTTTTCTATTCTTTTTGCATCAAATGACATTTTTCAGATTTTAAATATTTTTTTAAAGCAGAGTTGATTTGTTGGAAAGCAGGCTTGATCTTTTATTTCTCAAAGATCAGATTTTCTCATGAATTTTGGCACACAGATGGATAATGAGGACATGCAAGCAGAGACACACATCCGCTTCCCAGTCTGGGGACTCGGTGAACTCTGGGTGCTGTGGTCTCCTCACCATGGAAACCTGCTCCCATTCGCCTCGTCTCCCGCTGGTGGCTCCAAACCCGCAAGAAGGGGTTGAGACCAACCAAATTTTTGCAGTGGTGCAACTTTTCAGACAAAATGTCTGAAAAGTTGCTTCATGGTTTCAGAGGTCACAGTCCATAGGGGCCTTTGGTGACATTTAAGATCCAAACCATAGCACCCATCTCACCCCATGGAATGAACTCTGCCCAACCTCAGAGCAGATACAAATGCAAAAGTTCACCAGAGGGTCTCAGCGGCCTGCTCACTATTAATTGTACAATGAAACTCTGGCCTATGCATTTTAAAGAAAATACACAGAAGCAAAATTCTAAAAACGGCTCTTCACAAGAGAGGGGCTTCATGTTCCAGTATAAAGAATTCAACAGCAAAAAACAATACTTAATGTTCTACCATTTTGGATGCTCTAGGAAAAAACAAAAGAGCCACAGAATTTTATAACTGGAAGAGAAAGAGAACATACAAGTTATCTTCTGTTTTAAAGATAAAAAAAAAAAGCCTTGGAGATACTAATAGGCTGAATATGTATTTGCTCTTTTCTGGCTGGGACCATAAACTATGCCAAAGAAAAGGAAAACAAGGTCCCTGCTGTGCCAGGTATTCTCAAGAAAAAGCAAAGGAATTTCACAGATCTGAAGATAAAGCACCTGAGAAAGACATTTGCCCAACAGATGCTTCAGAAGAAAAGGAAAGCCAGGTATGGTGGCCCAAGCCTGTAATTCCAGAGACTCGGGAGGTTGAGGCAAGAGGATCACAGTTTGAGGTGAGCCTCAAAAACTTTGTGAAACCCTAAGCAACTTAGTGAAATCCTATCTCAAAATAAAAGGTCTGGGGATGTGACTTAGTGGTTAAATACTCTTGGGTTCAATCCCTGGTATGATGACGATGGTGATGATGATGATGATGATGATGATGATGATAACAATAATAATACAACGATGGTGACAGGGAGGAAGCTTTTCAATAGAAAAGCTAGGCACTCTTACAAGGAATACAGGAAGATGTACATGTGTTAGTCAACTTTCATTGCTGTGACAAAATACCTGACTTAAACTCACTTAAGAAATGAAAGACTTATTGAGGCTCAAGGTTTCAGTCCATGGTCAGCTGCTCCATTGCTGTTAGGCCAGGGTGAGACAGAACACCATGGCAGGGAGCCCATGGTACAGCAAAGTTGCCCAGCTCATGGCAGCCAGGAAGTGGAGAGAGAGGACAGGGAAGGGGCCAGGGACAAGGTATCCTCTTCAAAGACACACCCCTGGTGACCTACTTCTCACAGGGAGGCCCGTCTCTTCAAGTTTCCACCACCTCCCAATAGCATCACCAGCTGGGGACCCCACCTTCTACCCCCAAGCCTCAGGGGACATTCCCGATCCAGATCATAATAGGACAGAACTCAGAACTCAGTACAGTACAGAACTCCGATCAGAATGGCCAGGACGGCAAGAAAAGCTGGCCACTTCCACTTACCTGCAGAACCCAGGTCGGTGCTTGTCACCGGGATCCGAGGTGGAGGGGCTGCAGCCTCTTCACCTCCTCCAGACCTTGAGGGGCACCTTGGTTACGCTCAACAAGGTTTGGAGTAAGGGGCGGAGGACAGTGGAGCCCTAGGGGCTTGGGAGCACCCAAACCTGAAGTCGCTAAGTGAACAAATTACACGTGTGATTGTGGCAAGGTCAAGGCCAGGAGCGAGAAGAGGTGACATGAGGTGCCCCCTCCCACGTCGCCTGGCTCCGACTGCAGCACAAAGCCAGGTGATGGGAGGCAGATTCCACTTTTCAGAAGTGGCCACGGTGTTTCCAGGCCTGTCACACGCATGACGGTGACCTTCTCCTCCCCTTGACCAGAGGGGCCCCTGCCGAGGGACGCAGTGAGTGTCTCCTGGGGACAGTTCACTGTGGGAAGATGGAGATCCCTGGAGACGGAGGGCGGTGATGGCTACTCGGCACCATGGAACTGTCCCCGGGTGTCATTTATGAGGTTTCACTTACGGATGGCACGTGGATGAGCAGGTTTGACTAATAGGGCAGCCCAGGAGCTATTATCAACGTGCACTTCCCCATTTTTAATTTTATTAAGAGTGAGTACACACGTACCACTGATCCCTACATGGCAAAATACTGTTCTGCGCCATACGGTGATTTTAAAAGGGGGGGAAGGTGGGGTTTATTTTCTTTCTGAATCTTGAGTAGGGGTGGGTCTAGAATGCAGTAAAAGTGATGGAGTGTGACCCCCAAAGCTTGGTCACCAGGGGTTTGGTGCCCTTCTCCCTCTGTTTCCCTCTCCCTCTCCGACTCTCTCTCTCTCCATCTCTCTCCCTTTCTATCTCTGACCATCTCTGTCTGTCTCCCTCTTTCTCTAACTCTCTATCTCCCATCCCCCATCCTCTCCCTCTCTGTCTCTGGGTCCCTAGCCACCTCTACTCTGGCCATTCCCTCGCTTTCTTTCTACCCATCTCTCTTTCTGTCTTCCCTGTCTCTCTCCTTCTCTCCCTCTTTCTCCCTCTCTGTCTGTCTGTCTCTCCGTCCCTTCTCCCCCACCCCCAGGGAGGCTCCTCTAGGTCAGTGCTGACCAGGGCTCTTCAGGGCCTGGACTCCTCTCCTCCCATGTGTCCAGGGCACATTCTAGAGCTGATTGTTTTTTACAGTAAACTCATAGATCCAACATTCACCTCTAAATGGCCCTCTAAATGGTGATACCTGTGAAGTACAAGGTGCCTACACCTGGAGTCCAGGGACTCTACCTGAAGTCACCAAAGACCTGTGTCCTCACCCCGAGGTGCAATCAGGAGTCAAGGGGAAGGAAGAGGGTCAGGGCGATGCAGTTCAGACCTGACGCTACCAGGAGGGCCCGTGGAGCTGCATGGGGACTGGGGACAAGGTGGAGGCTGTCCTGCCTGTCTAGCTGGGCTGCTAGGTCCTCATCTAGCCTGGGGCCAGAGGCTGTCCTGATAGGTGCTCACTGTGCCCTGTCCCTGTCCTGCAGGCCTGCTGAGGAGGGGACAGCCCCTCACGGGCTCCTCCTGGGCTGTCACACACAGTGAAGGAATGCTGGGTGGCTCAGGTGAGTGACCCACGGTGGGCCTTGGGGCCAAAGAGGGAGGCCCGGGGGCCCATCTGGGGCTGGGAGACAGGAGCAGAAGCTCAGGCCTGGAAAGGGCAGGCAAGTCCAGCTCTACTGCGCGTTTCCAGGTCTACCCGTGAGGAGGTGCAGTGGACTGAGCTCTTCCTTTTGCAGCCTGGGGGCCCTTCTTCTCCCGAGAAGACCCTGGGCAGGGGGTGGGGCCCAGCAGGAGGAAGTGGGCGTCTCCCCAGACTCGCGGATCACCTCTTCACACCCAGAAACCTCCTTCTGAGGCCTTTGCCGTCCAGGTGAGCCATTTGGGGGTCCTCAAAAGAGCCTCGTGACACTTTTCTCCCCACAGGCCACGGGACACTGGTTATGCCAAGCCACCCACCCTTGAGGCAGAGCGGGCTGCTCCCCGCCTCTGTACCCACACAGGGGCCCAGCTGGGCCCGTGCCCCAGCACCTCCATCTGGCCCACTCAGCTTATCTCTAGCAAGAAGCCCAGAGAACACGGGCTCCACAGGCTGACCTCGGGCCTCAGCATCCCGTCTGCCCTCATGGGGCAGGTTTATGTCTGACCACGAGTCTCAGCCATCGGAGTGGTTAAAGCCTTGATCGTCCTAACACAGATACCGACTTAACTGGACTCAGAAGTGCAGCAGCTGCCACCCGTGCCCCGACCCCTTCCTCAGTCACACTATGAATCCCTGCAGACCAGGTTTCTAACAAACGACCCAAACAGGGGAACGGCCCCTCGGTGTGTCTGGAAGCGCAGCCTGGGTCGGAGCAGCACTCCTGTCTTATGAGCTGTGAGGTTCTCACACCCCACTTAACCACAGGCTGGATTCTTCGGGTGTAACACTTTAGAAAGCAGAACAAGTTTGGAACTAACAACCTGCTACATAGAGGACATGGGTGGCATGGTAAGGACGCCCACGAAGGGACTGGTCCTTAGTGGGGCAGGCAGTCTTGTGCCTGCAGTGAGCAGAGAGAGCAGTCCACGTTGCAGCTGATGCTTGCACTGCCTGAAGAGGGGGTAGAAGATTTGTTGTTGTTGTTGTTGTTGTTATAGGTAGTATGATGGAAATATTTTTAATTTTTAATCTTTGTTGTTTGCTTCCATAGGAGATAAAAACACATTGTCAGATAAAGTGTTCCTGCCAAGAGAAAACCAGCTGTGAAGAGTTTAGCCTGGAAGAAAACAAAATCTATCAGGAGACACCTTCCCAGCAAGCAGGGCTCTGCATGTTCCCCCGTTCATTTTCCACATGAAGCACCTGTTTGGGTTGCCATGGTAACCTCGCACCTATTTTTCAGAGGATCTCACAGAAGTTGAACTCCACGTGGAGGTTTAGTGGAGTGTCACCTATTGAAATCAACAGGACCTTGGCTTCTTTTCATCAACTTAGGTAAGCCCCATTCAGTCTTTCAGTTTGCAAATGAAAACATGAATCAATTAGCAGAAGAATAATTTAGTGGGTTTTAAAAAAAAAATTAATTATCATTTCAGATGCTTCGGTTCAGAATATTTGCTGACACTTTTCCATCCTGTGATTGATCTGCTTCTCTTCTGCTGCCTAACAAACCACCCCCCAAATTAGTGATTGAAACAACGATGACATTTTTTTTTCTCCACCCCCAAATCTGCAACATGGGCAGGGCTTGGCCAAAGCGAGCATCTCTGCTTCACATATTATCTGAAGCAGCTGGATGATGGCTGCTGGGATCGTCTGCAGGCTGTGTCCACGCTGGGCGGAGGATGCCGGCTGGTTGTCTAGGACCTCAGCTGGAGCGCCTGGGTAGAAAACCCTCACCGCAGCTGCCTCACATGCCCTGGCTTTCTCACCTCATGGTGGACGTGTTCCAGGTTTGGGGTTATTATTTTCTTTTAATTTGCTGACATGATATTTGTACTCATTTATGGGGTACCATACTATAATTTGATACATGTATAAAAAGTGTAATGATCAAACAAGGCAATTAGCATTTCCATCTTCTTGTCATTTCTTTGTGTTTGAAGGCTTTAAGCTAGTCCCTTCTAGTTCTTCCTGACTGCACGATGCCATATGTATTCCTTCTAGCTAACTATCTGGGTACCCATTATCCAACCTCCCTCTGTACCCTCTCCACCTGTACTTTCCCAGCCTCTAGTGCTCCTACGTACTCTCTAGTTCTATGGGATCAACTTATTTAGCTTCCACAAATGATGAGACTCCTGGAGGAAAAAGGAAAAAATATTTCAAGACATTGATATAGGCAAAGATTTTTTTTTAAAGATAAGATCCCCAAAGCACAAGCAACAAAAGCCAAACTAGGCAAACTATATCAAGCTAAAAGTCTTCCTCACAGCCAAGAAAACAATCAATAGAGTTAAGAGACCACCCACAGAACGGGTTCCATGCGTGAGCATTCAAAGCCACATTCTATTTGTCAGAAGTAGGTCTCACTGAAGCTGATGCTTATCCTAAGGGAGGTGAATTAGGGTCCCCCTTTCAATGGGAGGAATGCAGAGGATTTGTGGCCCTACTTCAAGATCCCATAACACCCCTGTCAGATGCATTAGTTCATTTTCTGCTGCTAATAACATAATACCACAAACCGGGTAAGTTGTGAAGAAGAGATTTATTTGGGCGTTCAGTTCTAGTGCAATGCCCGCATATGGGGATGGCCCTCTTGCTGGCAGAGTCCTAAGGTGGTGCAGGGCATCACATGGCAAGAAACACCACATGCACATGTGTGTCTCTGCCGGTCTCTCCCTCTTCTTACAAAGCCACCGGTGTTCAATCATGGGGCTCCACCCTAATCACTTTATCTAAACCAGCTCCCAAAGGCCTCGCCTTGAAACATCATGGCCAGATAATGTCTCCACTCCCATAATATCTCACAATGGGTCTGAAATTCCAACATGAGTTTCCAGGGGACAAACCATATTCAAACCGTAACGTTGCTTATGACTAATTGATGACTGGTCGACTTCAGAATCCTTCGCAGTACAGTGTTCTGCCCAGCAGCTGACCACCGACCTGAACTGGCCCTGAAGCTGAGACCTCTCTGACATCCTTGCTCTGGGCTGGAGCAAGAATTGGACAGGACCAGAAGTCTCTGTCGCAAAGTTCCTACAAGTCCATAACAAAGCCCAGTAAATAGGGACAATGTAATCAGCTTTTCAGAAAGACAAAGGCGCCCTAGGTAACGATTGCTCCATTATTTTGAGGTTGGATGCTTCCTATGTTTTGGAGGTGTTCAACGATCCTTTCTCTTATGAACTGTGCAGATAATGAAGAGCAGTTTTGTTGTTTGAATCGCCTTTTAAAATATTGCTGATTCATGCAATTTGAGTCATTTTCTCCTGACCCAGGCCATCTGTTGGTGATGGAAACATGATTGTTGCAAAAGCTGCTTAGAGAGCTACTGAGAATAGAGTTGACAGCACAAGCCCTTCCCCACCAGGTTACCTGTGAAGACCTGTATGTGGTGGTTTTGCAATCCGCCCATCATCCCTCCCTGAACCTCTGTGTGGAGTCTAGACTGCTTTGTCTTTCCCTCCTGCTTTCTTCCTGGGCTGCTCTGTCAGCTGGGCTCGTGGGAGAACGCTGATCCGTGATGTGCGTGTGCTTCTGGTGCAATCCTCAGGCGCTCTGCTCTCTGGAAAAGATGATCTAACTCTCAGAGCTAAGTGTCTCCCTCTCAGAAGTCCCCACGGGCTTGTCAACTCAAGAAACCAGGCCACAGAGCCTCTGTGTAATGAAGAATCACGGCGAATGAGTCACAGAGTTGCTCCACGAGATTTAGTGAGGCCATTCAATGTGGAAAGAAAACCAAAATGATACCTTGAAACAAGATTACGAAGTCGAGGACTTATAAAGTTGGCTGAGTTTGAAGTGGTTTCCTTTGTCCATCAGAGAAATAACTGACCATTTCACTCACAGCGATGGGGTCCGAGTTAATAAAGGTAATATGGTAGGTACTTTGAAGGCAGATCCTTGGAAACTGTAGATCAGTCTAGAGAATACACAGAATTTTCCAGATTATAGAACAGAGACATACAGAAAGGGGAAAAGACAAAGGAAGGGTATAAAGGAAGATGAGAAGGTGGAAGAAAGAGTTCTGTGGATTAAGGGTATTTTTACCAAGAGCTTCAGTTCCAGTGTAGGAGAAGGCAAGAACTGCCATTTCCTTTACATGATATGAAGGACGTTGGCAGAGAGGGGTCAGTCTGTCTCCCTTTCCCGGCAGGGTCTGGTCAGTCTCACTGGATTCCAGGCTACTGGCCTTCAACTCAAGGCTTCACAGAATGGGACTAAGAGAAGCACCAACCCTAATGATCGCAGGGGGCTCTGCTTCCTGCCCCGCTCATCGCCTACACAACAAGCAAAACAAAACAAGCCCGAGTCCTGCAAACTGGACCCAAGAAGAAGACCATAATGACGGCCTTTCTCTCTGTAAGCGCTCCCAACATGAGATGCGGTGCGGAGCGCGCTTTCCGTGTTCCTGGTTCAGGGACTTCTGTGAAGCAACACAATCAGAAGCACAGCCCCAGGCAGAGATTGCTGGACTCTTTCTTTCTTTTCTTATTTATTTTGTTGTTGTTGTTGTTGATGTTGTTTTTGTTTCTGTTTTGTTTTGAGATGAGGTCTCAATCTGTTGCCCAGGCTGGTCTCAAACTTCCAGGATCAAGAGATCCTCCTTTGTCAGCCTCCCATGTGGCTGGGATTCCAGGCACACACCACCACACCTGGCTCTTGAGTGTTTTAGACACACGGACAATGAATCTGTAAGGCAATGGGTGTGTTGACCACTTTTATCGTGGGGACCATTTCACAAAATACAGACATATTAAACATCACACTGTACGCCTTAAAATATACACAATCTTTGTCCATTATCTCTCATTAAAGCTAGGGGAGGGGGAGCGTCTCTCTAGCGCTTGGTTTCTGCTGTGTCTTACGAGGACCAGCTGAGCAATGGCTCCCTACCTAGCATAGCCATGTGCATGGGGCTTTGTTTTGAAAACTGGGTCATGCGTACTAGCCAGTGTCTAATCAGGATGCTTAGATGGAAATAATATTTTTTAAGCTTAGAAAGAAAGTCAGGATACAGCTTGTCCCAGGCTCCATCTGCAGACAGTTAGACCGAGGCCGTTTGTTGGTGATTGAAACATCCTCTCCTGTGGACAAATTCCAGCTTCCCCAACACTAGGCTTGGTGGAGATACAGGGGCCTCTGTCCTTCTGTCTCTGCTTCTATTGGCCAACTGGCCCATCCTCTGGAGCAATTAAGACCCCTTTGAAACAGTAGCTGCTTCTCATGCAGATACTCCCTGAAGGACCCTGATGCACTTATTTTAAGAGATGCTTTCAGAAGCAGAGGACAATTCTTCTATCTCACAAAATACATGTCACAGAGAAGAACAAACCCACCCACGTCCCCTCCCCTGCGGCTGCATGATTGCTCTTTATGCAACAGGAAATGAGTGGCCGCAGCCCAGGTAGTCAACTCAGGAGTCAGAGTCGCATAAAAACCCTGTCCCCGCGAAGGAATTATACCCTACCATAAAACCAGAGTCTCCCTTCCTTGAGATCTAGGCACAGCCAGAGAGAACGGAAACAAGACCAGTGTAATTACCTGGTGTGTAATTACCACCGAGCGCCTGCCTGAGAACAGAGCCCAGTCCCGCGGGTCCCCACCAGAGGCCATCTGAAAGCAGGCAGCTGGTCTCGGGGTGTTTGTGTATGGAGAGCGGCTCGGCTCCCTGCAGCCAGAAGCAGGGATACTCTGTGTCTATGTGGGTCAGGGTCACCAAGCAGAAGCAACAACCAATTTGAAATGCAAGCCAGACTCATTCTGTGTGTGACTGTCCAGGAGGGCACCAGTCCAGGTTTGTGTGAGTTGATCTCTTTTAAAAAGCAAATCCCACACGATGCTGTGGTCAGAAGCCCCGTACCTAGGAAGGGACTGGTATCTGGCTGCCTTCAACAGAGCTGGGGCTGGAAGAGGAAAGAATTCTGCCATGACGGATGGGCAGGAATCCCCAGGTTTGCCTTCCACCCTTCACGGTGGTGTCAGGACTTTTCTGAGATTTAATCCTTTACCCAGGCTTCATACATGTTGATGCTTTCACTGAGAGAAGGGATAGCCTTGTTTTGGAAGCTATGTCATGGGGTAAAGAGTCAACAGCGAAACCCACAGGACGGAGAGAAAATAGAGTCCAGCTGCAGCAGCTGGAGCCGGGGCAGGGCTGCAGCCTGGCTCAAGGATGCTCTGCTACGGGCTCGCGGAGGCCCTTCTGGCCTCCCATTTAGGAGGCATCTCCCATGACACACACCCAGAGCACTTTGCAACACTTTCAGTGGTCACTATAAGTGGGCAGTTACTTCATGCCTATCTCTCCCTCTGGAAGGGGCATACGGGTCAGCCCCGTGCCTGGTTTGCTTGCTGCTGGGTTCCCTGTGCCCAGACCAGTGCCTTGCACAGGCAAGAGGCTGGTATTCACCAGACAAGTGGATGCAGGAGGTGGACAGATGGATGATTCTGTGGGTCGATGGGTGGGTGGGTGGATGGAGAGATGGATCGATTGATCGATGAAGCTCACAGGGTCACTGAAGCATTTTGTTTCCTAACTTCTGAACGGAATTCCACCAGGCGTCTGTAAGCAGATTTTCCTGTTGGAAGGCTGGACCTCTAGGTGTGTGGAACCTGGGTGAGCGCAGCAGGAGTGGACAGGTGAGCATGGTGCTCCATCCCAGGACTGCACTTAGGGGAGCAGAAAGTTCTGTCCCTTGGCAGGGCACAGCCCAGGGTGGTCAGGCCCCTTCTGCAGAGCTGAGGCAGAACAAAGCCTGGTGTTTCTCAGTCGGCCCTCCGCACTCTCTAAACTCTGCATGTATTTATGTAACACTTCGGGCCTGATGGAGACCAGATGTGACCAAATAGCGGTTTGTGTCGCCCAGGAATGCCGAAATACCAACCTAGACCT